GTGCTTCTCTCAAACAAAGGTCCCTTGTGCACAAATATTCAACAGATACCACATGGGAAAGATAAATATTTTTTTCTTCTTTTTTTAATAAATCTAATATCAATTAGTTTGAGGTTTGCGGTTCAAACTTTTTCACTTTACTTGGATTTGGTTCACTGTCGGGGCTTTATAAATTAAGTAAGGGTGTTAGAGTTGAAACAAAAATTTCAGGTTTTAATTTAGGGGGCTTCAGCCCTCTAAGCCCTCCATAATTTCTGCCAGGATGCATTCTATCTAAAGTCTACGCCAGACATTGCACCAGAAGACCTCTGCACCTAGATGTAGGAAGTGCACTCGGGGTGGGGTAAGGTTCGGTTAGGTGCAGGCTGTGGGGTAAGATTAGGGCAAGGGTTAAGCTTGGGTAGTAAGGGTACTGGGTATCTATTCAGATCCAATAATAGTGGATCTAATTGCCTTCCCTCCCAAACTACTTAATTCCCAAACTCTACCCTAATTAGCCAAAAATAAAGAAACTTTCAGTAGTGAAAAATATCCTAATTTCCTATTTTCCTTTTTAACTGAAAAGTTCTTTAGAGCTTTGTAAAAAATGAGGACATGGTCCTCTATTTCGCCAGCCCCATGAATTCAATAACAAGTTAACCTCGCACCAAGGACGTGAATGTTCCAACTTTACCTCTTTTTTCCTAATCGTTCTCCGTTGAACTAGTCCTTCATTGTCATCAAGGGTCATTACATCGTAAACGAGTCCTCTGGAACCTGAAGGCCATACTGCTCTCTGATTCTCTTGTGCATAGCACGGTAGCCTAATAACTGATCTGGACCATCTTTTTCTGCATTAAATGCCTCACCCACTTGATTTACAGTTGTATCGTAGTCGACGAATTTTATTCCAAAATGTTTCATGCGCCTACTTGATGTACCAGGGCTCCAAGCGTACTGAGAAAAATCCCTTTGCAGAAAGTCAAGAATTTCAGCTCTTCGCAAGTTTCTGGCAACCATACAGCGAATAAATTTTTGGAGTTCGTTATCCTCTGTCCATTCGTTATTTCTTTTATATTCTGCAGCCATATGGAGCAAAATCTCCCTTTCTTGGCTACATAAGCGAAAGGTAATTTATTTAGAAAATCAAAAAGGGCGCGAAAAGCTGCATGGAAATAATTTGAAAAAATAATTTAATTATAACGAAATAACGAAAAAATAATTTGAATTTAATGTCAAATTTACCACAAATATCTGTGATTTTTTTATATTTCATAAAATATGTTTCTGTTTTTTGAATGAGAATGCTGGGCCACCATACATTACACCAAACTTGCCTTTTTGAACTTATTTTGAAACAGTTCATCAGCACAGTGCTCATCAGAGCTCTTTGCTGTAAGCATGAGGTAATGCTGCATTCTTCTTTTTGCTGACGATTTTATTCTTTCTAAACAAACTAGTCTTCTATGATTCCTTCTTGATAAATATTTTTTACTACCAGCGCAATAAATTTCATTAAAAAAACTTGCTGCAAGTAATCATAGCCTACTAAATTTTCTTGCCGGTCAGCCATGTTGAAACTTTGATCGATTAATCAATTTGAACCACTTTGTATGCACTAGCAAACTGGCCTGGGCTCTGCCCAACTTGCGTTCACACTGTGAAAAAGCCGCTTCAGTGTGAACAGATGATAGGCCTGGGCCAGGCCCAGGCTAGTATTTCTTAGGCTAGTTTGGGTAGTGTGAACATGGCTTAAGGGAGGTTAATTGTTTCACTTATGAGCTGTTTCAATATATTTGCATTTATGCTATTTATGAAAAAGTACCCAATAGGGACATACCATGGCTTTTTTAGTTTTGAAGCCATTAAACAAGAGCATTTGTTGCCATTGTGTCTGGTGTGTCTGCCTTGAAGTTGCCATAGTCAACATTGTCAACAAATTTAGAATTCTTCTTATCCCATTCCATTTGTTTTCTTATAGCAATTTCATCGAGCATTAGTACAGAGTCCTTGCCTGCTACAGATTCAAAGGTTTTTTTTCAAAAAGCCTGGTTCACAGTCAATGTTTATAGACCAAGACCTTATTGTTGCTGGGTGTGGCATATTAAATGACTTTCTGATGAACTTACAGGCTCTTGGACTATAGAATTGCAGAGAAATGGCAAACTCTTTCATTTCATCAGAATACCTGGAACAAGACACTTTTCCAAAATTCTGTGCTTCATTTCTGAAAAGCTCTGCTGTCATATGCCCGAAGTTGTCTGCCAATGACTTCTGATTTTCTTCAGAAAGCAATTTATACTTGTGAAGTTGGTCATGACTCTTAAGTCTAGTTTACCTGAAGACTCTGAGTTTGGCATGGAAAGAGGATAGTGTTGCTAGCTGCTAGTTTTGGTAGGCCAGTTTCACAAAACTGCATGGTGACCAATTTGATGATCGACCATTTATTCGATAGATTTGGGAATTTGTTGAGAAACATTGACCAACCAATGCTGTCCTCTAGACAGCTTCAGATATTTGCCAATGTTGTTCACAATAAAGGGGCTACACTGAATAATTGTTGGGGGTTCATCGATGGCACAGTCAGGCCTATTTGTAGACTAAACCAAAACCAAAGAGCTGTCTACAATGGTCACAAAAGGGTACATGCCATAAATTTTCAGTCTGTTGTGTGTCCAAATGGAATAATTGCCAATCTTTTTGGCCCTGTTGAAGGCAGAAGGCATGACAGTGCAATGTTGCAAATGTCCGGCCTCCTAGATCAGTTAGAGTAGCATTCTCATTCGCCTGAAGAGGAGCCACTTTGTCTTTATGGGGACCCTGCATACCCTCATAGGATTCACCTTCAATGTCCCTTCCCAAGAAGACCAGATCAACTTGCATTTAATGAGTCGATGAGCCAAGTTAGAATTTCAGTTGAGTGGGTGTTTGGGGATATTATTAATTATTTCAAATTTGTTGACTTTAAGAAGAATTTGAAAATTGGTTTGAGTCCTGTAGGGAAAATTTATATTGCTTGTGCTTTACTGAGAAATGCATTGACATGTTTATATGGCAACAATACATCAACATTTTTTGGTATTGAGCCTCCTGCACTGCAAGAATACTTTCAGTGAGCAAACAATAAAAAAGCTTTTATCAAAGCTCCCAAAACAGCTTTTTTTCAAAGCTACAAAAACAGCTTTTTTCAAATCTACAAAAACAGCTTTTTTCAAAGCCACAAAAACAGCGTTTTTAAAAGTTACCATATTGCCAAGAAGTATGATATTTCTTAGCACACACAATTTTTGAAGGCTTCTCTCTATGTTCAGATGTAGATAAGCAAGATTATATACTCATTTTAAAAAATATAAAGACAGTAGCTTGAATATATCAAACAAACATATCTCAAACAAAGCAAAAAAGGCTAGAAATATGAAGATCCAGATGTTACTGGAAATTATAGCTGTTACTTAAGAAATTTAGGTTAAAAGGAATAAACCAGCCTATTTTTTGAAATTCTTTGGAAAAGATTAAAGCATGTTTCATCCAACATGTGATATTTCTTTAAAAAGTGGTTTAATTGCCTCCTGAAAAAAACATATGGAAAAATTTATACACAGCAACCCCTCCTCCCCTCTCCAATCAAAAATTGAAGCCCTGTCTGATTTATTCTTTTTGTCAGCACATCGGGCTAACTAGTCCCCAGACCTTTCCAGCTCATCTCGACCTGTCGCGTCATGTTTCGTAAACTCTCTATTTACAGTCTTCCTTCAAGGTTCGAAGATCTCAATTAGTGCTATCCGTGGTCTTTTCCCCACTTTTCTAAAGGTTCTTTCTCTTGCTCTCTACAAAAAATTTCAAAACTTCTTTCTCCTGCAACCGTTCAAATTGGACGAAGACTTTTCAAATTCGACCAAGGCTTTTCAAATTCGCTTTGCTTTCCACAAAGGATTCATTGGATTTTTAGTTAGAATGTAGCTAATTAATCTAGGAGCACTGCTGCTTGGATTTCCTTTTCGAACTCAAAGCGCTTCTCGACAGTCTATTTTGTGCTATCGTCAGTCATGCCGGGTGCTCTAGACAGACACAGACCTCAGGTGAGTCTTGCTAGGTTTTTATAAACTTTTCAGCGTCATTTTACTTTCCTTATTCTCGATTGATTGATTGAAACCCTATTTGTTATTATTTTGTTTACAAGAGCGATGTAATCCATGCTTTAATGATCTTGCTTTTTTGTTTTAGTGGCTACGTACACCCGCTGCTGCCTGTTTTTTTGGTTTGCGATGGCTGCTGGCTGGCTGTTCCCCTTCTTCACTGGCATCAGAATCGGTTGCATGCAAGTACAGGTAAGTGGTGTTCTTACATGTTTTCAATGTTGCTTCTTTCGAATGATTTTGTGCTTCTTTCGAATGATTTTGTGCTTCTTTCGAGGAAATTCTGCTAAAAACCTGGCCGCTAGACCTTGCCGCGAAGCTCGAATTTTTACCTTTTTTCGTAGTTTGGTACTAAAAGAAAACTGGATTGGCTCTTTTGCAATCAAAGTATGAAAAATTATGGTAGATTTTGTTTTTTCGCTGTTTTTTCGTGATGCATGAAAATTTTAATTTTCATAGGATACCCCTTGTAATGCCAGCCCTCAACTTTTTATTCCTTATGAGAATCCTTTGCAGCAACTTTCCCTAACCGCCTTCTTGCCTATTTGCAGATGAATGATCATCTGACTTTTTGGTATAACAAATGAGTATTTTTCAATTAAAATTTCAGTTTTTTTCTGCCATATTCCCACCAAGATAAATAGGAATTGCCTGCCTCTCAAGTTAAAATTATTTATACCTTTGACAGAATTTTAAGAATTGTAAATGAATCATTCTAGAAATCATTTCAATTGATTTGATGCTTAATTTGATGAAATTACTCTAAAGACCGGTCACTAACTGCTAAACTGATTTTTAACTCTTTTCCTGGTTTTGGGCTGAAAAGAAGCTGGATTGTTATGGTAGATTGTGCCTGCATCATTTTCGGAATTATACATGAATCATTGTTAAAATCATTTCCAATGACTTTTTTCTTATTTGGGTGAGATTACACCAAAAACCAGTTGGTAAAAGGAGTCGCTAAACTGGCTGCGAACGTGTTTCTCTGAATTTTTTACCTCTTGCGCAATTTTGTGCTGAAAAGAATGTGAATTTGCTTAAAGGAGTTGTTAAACCTGCCACGAACGTGTTTCTATGAATTTGTTACCTCTTGCGTAGTTTTGTGCTTAAAAGAATATGGATTGGCATTATTGCCCTCTAATAATACAATTTCAAATGATTTTGCATTTATTTCGACGAAATTACACTAAAATCCGGTCGCTTAAACTGTCATGGCTAAACTGTTGGGGCAAACATTGTTGCTAAAGTTTTTACAAAGCATTATGACTATCGATTTCATAAACCATGGAATAACATCCTCCTTACTTTTTTCGTTCTTCATCTAGATCAAAGATCGTTTCAAGCAAAAATTAAGACACAGATGTTATTCTTGGACCTTCAAAACAAAATTTATGTCATTTATGCTGGTGTTACATCTAACAATGAAACAGCTGGACTATGGAGAAGAGGACTCAAGTTATATGGATTAGCTGTTGTCTGTTAATTGTATTTTGTTAATTTGTTATTAGAGTAAGAATCTTTTCTGATGCACAAAACTTTGGCTGTTATCTTTCAATTTCTCCGTGCTTGTTGCTGCAGTGTTTCAAAAGCTAATTGTGACGAAGATATGATACCTGGGCCTCAAATGAAAAGAACTGTGTGATAATTTTAATTCTTTGTTATTTTAAATCTCGAAAAGTCACTGGTGGGAGCAACCAAACGAACGAACTGGTGGGAGCAACCAAAAACATGTTGCTGTCAAGCTTTAAAGTAGAGTTGAGAAGAAAGAACTGAGCTTTCAGATTAGCCTGGAGAAAATCGAAAGAGCCCCACGAGTCATAGAGGAATAAATGAAATGATTATATGGAAATTTAAACACTGAAACTAGAACAAACACGAGACTGAGGTAAACCATTAAAATATATAAACGAGGAACACGAATAGACCTGGGCTTGCAAATGTTTTGAAGCAACTTTCAATTAACGGAAGCCTAGCTACCCTTCGAAGCCCGCCATGCGGTAGTGTGCATAGATTACCCTTTGAAAAGACAAGAATACTCCTGAAACCCCCACTTTGTGATAGTAAATATAGCCTTGGTAAAGAAAAGAATTTTGTTGAAGTCCCCAATGAATTCCAGGAAATTAGCCTTGGTAAAGACAAGAATTCTGTCCAAGCCCCCAATGAATTCTAGGAATATCTGCCACGGAAAGAAAAGACAACAATGTCTAGCCTCTCCCTCAAATTGAATGGATACACCCCATAGGGGTCACGTGATAAAAAGCAGCTTTCTCTGCTTAAAGATTTTGGTAAAAAATTTCACTCGCACTCCTTTGACTATTGCTCTCTACCCCCTTTTATTTAAGGCAACCCCCTTCCTAGCATACGCATGGAATTAAGTGGAGATAAGAACAACATTGCAATCTCTAGATATCGTAGTATGCCTTCCGCCAACAATTTAAATGCCACCTAGACAGCTGACTAAACAAGATACCTAATCTCTCATTTCGCAAGTTTCATCAAGCAATGGTAAAAACCAAGGTGTTAGATTACCATAAATCACCTTACTGTGATTCAACAGAGACATCCCAAAGTTCCAACAATTTTCGCAGAGTTTTTATTGTGCAGTCGACAAAAGTGAAGACCACATAAATTTAATTATCAGATTTGAGTACACAAATTTAATTATCTAGTCAACTCGCTGGAAGGTCAGGCTTGTAAGGCACTGGAAGGATTACAAATCTGTGAATAACTAAGAACAATGAAAAGGCCAAAGTTCTCTAAAAGAAAGATTTTGAAAGAAAAAACGTATAATCAGTGCTCACATCCAAGCATTGTTAAAGTTGAAATCATGTGAAAATAAAAAGATCACAGACCTCTGTGTGATGTATGACACAATCATGGTTCATATTCGTGGTTCAGAAAGTCTAGAATGCCAGAAGACATAGCCAGCCAAGTATCGCAACAAACCTCAGAGGATGTATGGAGTGTCGATGAGATTATGACCACCATTCAACAAGAGATCAAGGCAAGAGATTGTAGCAAAAAATGATTGGGACAAAGAAAAGATTAAATGTTTGGAAACAACAGACTTATGTACCACCATAATCCTTTCTGGCCAGGTTGGAGAGTCCCTCAAAGAATAAGAAATCAATTCAGTGTTATATCTGCAGAGCCATTCTTCAAACGAGTGCTAGTAGGTGACAGACCTTAGACAACGCAAGGCAATTTTGCAAGCAGCAATAGGATTCCTCAGTCCAGTGGATGTGTGCTTCAATTGTTCAACTTGTGTTAAGAGCATAAAACTTAGCAAACCCATACAGTTTTGTTTACTGATCATTTTAAGATTTGGAGTCACTCCCGGAAACACCCTAGTGATGTCATTATGACGTCACAACTATAAAAGACTTACCACTTTTGTAGGCTAGACTGGCTGTTTCTGTGTCAATGACAACCAGAATGCAAAAGTGACAACCAGAGGGTTGAATAACAGTAGAATGCCCAATGGCATCACCTGATGACGTCATAGCTTTGTTAACTTTGTCATCAGGATAAGGAAAACAGTTGAGTCAGACTAATTAACTTAATAAAACCTAAGTACTTTGATATTGGTGGTATGAAAAACTTTTAAAGGAATGCATATTGAAAATGATTTAAGTGTAATGAAATTGCTTTTGTAACTGAAATTGATCGAATGTAAATGTATTTAATTTGAAAGAACGATTGTTACTTAACTAATATAGGTTAGTAGTCATTTACATGTCAGTAATGCATAGCGACAATCCTATTTACAGTCACCACTGCAGAAGCAAAGTGCTGTGCATTCCAGTCCAGATTTTTTTACATTTACAAGAATTTTTGCAACCTTTTTTACAAGCACATGTATGCGAAGAACATCAACCACTTCTGGCAAACTGGTCCATCATGGTTGCCATACACCTTCATTGTAATTCCACCCACAATTCTCCGCACTAGCTGATGACTTGACAGGATTTAACATTTGTTCCCAAGTATTGGCTTGCAAGGCAGATCTGCAAACATGATAAAGAAGTGAGGTATGTGTTGGTAGAATGATTTCAATGGCTCAGTTCTTTTAAGCAAAAAGATCCAATCGAACTGCACCTACTGACGATAATTCACTGGTGTGATCGATTATTGCCATATCTTCATCAGATATGATCGAGGGATTTCTTGCAACTGAAAGAAAAGAGGAAAAGACTGTGTGTCAGTCGGAGCAATTTTCTATGTTTTCAATGCAGATATCTTTCCTTTTCCCGCAAACAAGGGAACTATCACAGCCATTAAATGCATGCAACATGGTTAATGCAAGGGTCCTTTGCTCACCTAAGAATACAACTGGCTTGTTAACATTGATGTATGCGAAGTATTGCCGTAATCCAATCGCAATGATCAGCTGTAGGTCCCTTTGTCTTACTACAGCAGCGACCCCAAGAACTGCGACATTTGTGTCAACTGTATATATGATTGCTCTATCCATTCCCTGTCCTTGCTTAGCAACTTGTAGGTGTAAAAAAAATCCTGCTTTCAGCCTCCTTGTGGTTGCATGGATTGATCAGAGATGTGTCTCCTGTGGAGGCCAGCATAAAGCATTCTCTCTGATTGTCATGATGACTGTCTTTCCTACAGGTCTCAGATTTGCATGAATTAACGGTGTAAGGTATTAATAGAGTTCGGTCTTGTTGTCACTGTGGCACTTATTGTTACATATTTTGTTTACCCTCTTCCATAGTGAACTGGATGTCTTTGTGCAAGCTCTGTAACAGAGCTAGTATGTTTTCTGAATTGTCTATATCATGGTCCCATATTAGGAAACAATTATCGAGGTATCGCCACCACCTATCTGTAAATTGTTTCTTTACTGTGATCCCATACTTCTCTTCAATCTTGTTGTATAATTTTGTTTCTAAATATCCCATAACCAGAGTTGCATAAGTCGAACCCATCTTTGTACCATTGCAGTTCCCTGTACTTGTATATAGTTCTGATTATCAAAGCAAAATGTGTTACATTCCAAAACTAGGCAAAGAGCTTTAATTATGAATTCTTTTGATATGTTTCTTTTGGTTTCGTTTGGAAAATTGTCTATCCAGTAAATGATATTTTCTTTTCCTAGCTCGTTATTGATGTTTGTGGACATATTTGTCATATCAAATGTCATTAGAGATTTGAATAGGTAATGAATCTTTGTTAAAATGTCAATATCGTCTCTGATATGCCTTCTTATGTGTTGTACATATGGTTTTCATATTATGTCTAGAAAGTCACTCAATTTGCTTGTGACACAACATGGGCCTGGTATAATTGGTCTGAAAATTGAATCGTAGGATTTTTCTACTTCAACCTATTCTGATTTGGTTTGCTTTATTATATGATTTATGTTGTGAACTCAATATTGCTTCGAATGCAACAACTACTTGAACAGTCCCCGAAGCAAGAAATAGACCTTTTTAATTTTACCATGCCGAAATAATCACTTAAATCATTACAACTCTACTCTCTAATTTTACCACTAAGAAAAGGATTCCCCCTTTACGGGCACACAGCCTCTATTTATACTGCTACTTATCATTACGTCACTTTACAAAAATACCGACCGTGATTGCATCATACTTGCGAGATTACCATAGAATGTTCTAGAAATTTCTACGCATACTAATTATACCATGAATTATAATTACAAAGCAATGTCAGCGGGGGATAAAAAAAGGAAGTCTTAAACAAAAGAAGTGCATACGTATTGTCTCTAAAGATTATGTAAGTTTGCATCACGTGACTTTGTGGCACTCAGTGACTCCGTCACATTTATTATTCTGCTTTTGTGTTTTTTTGGTAGTCCGTACAGTTGGCTGGTTTTATAATTGAGCTTTGTTAAATATTTCACTTCTTTCTCGGACAGTTTGTTTGCGTGTGTGCGAGTTGGTTCTTCTATTCTTTTGAGGAGTTGGCTGTATATATTTTTTGCCAGTCTTTTGTAAGTTTCTTTATCATCTACTGTTAGTATCATTTTATTTCTGTAGTATTTAGAGTCCATGATTACACATGCTCCAATTTTATCGCTTTGTTTAATGACAATATTTTTTTTGTTTTTGATCTATTATTCCTTTCTATTCCAACTTGTTAAGATTATTTTGTATTTTCTGCCTGGCAGCGGCATGCTTTTTAGAAAGCCAGACTTTGATCTTTATAAAGAGACAAGTATCGTCGGTCAGTCTTGATATTCAGATCAAATATGGAAGTATTATATTGCACCAAGCTGTCTGACAGAGCAGTCAAATTGTCAAAGTAGGCCAGGGAGACAGAGGCATGAGGATGTTGACAGATTGTGTAATGGAACGTTGCTTTTTATGCAGTCTGTATTGGCAGGCCAGTTTCCTGATTTGTAAAAGAAGATTCGCGCTTTTTCATCAGCTCTACATTCAATGCAATAGCCCAAAAAGCCATCACACAATTTATTCAGGAAGAAACACCTAAACAAAACCAGTATACGAGGAACGAAAGCTGTTTTAATTGATACAATAGATTCATGAGGATAAAAAGCTTCATATCAACATGAACTATTGGAAATATAACAGGACAATCAAGGACATGGACATGGATTTTTTCAAAAATTATAAATTTGTTCTTATATATATAGACCAAAAAAGGATTTGAGATTATATTAACATTTCAACCTTTTCAACATACTGGTATAAAAATAATTTTTGTTTTGAATCTGTAAGCTATTACAAGGGCCTTGTCAGTTCCTTTAAGCTGTCAGAACTTTAACCTGCTATATTAATGAATAATAGATACATGTTTGTATTTAAATACTTAGCTACATTGAATAATATACTGTAAATATATATACAATCAGGCCAGTGAACTAGCTAGCAAATTTGTAATTTAAATTGCACGTGAGAAATTTTCTTATAAAAGTATCATGAAACAACAATCTAGAAAATTTCTAGAAAATCTGAAACAAAATTTCTAGAAAATACCTTTATGTTGTTACTAGTTTGAAATAATAGCAAGATAACAGGATGCATGTAATCTCCAACCTTCATCTACCATTTTTTGCAAGATCCTTTCTGCTGATCCATAAAAAAGTTTGTTACCTTTTTTATGCCTAGAATAATAATGTTAATGCTATAGCAAATATCATCTAAGGATATTAATTAGGTAACATAAAGATAAATTCAAATGATACAGTCTATGCTTATATGAACATTGCTTTTATGCTTATTAACAGGCGACTGGCTGTTAGAAATCTAACATTTAGAGGATAAAATTTTTCTCAAAGCCTGGCAAATTGCGTGTCACACCTTCTCCAAACCCCTCCAAACCTCTACACCCTGCAGTTTCGCCAAACATTCAAAATGGTAAAATGATAACAGGCATCGTGGAGCGTTGAGAAAAGTGGGGGTCTAGAAAAGTTGGGGGGGCTAAGACCGAGAAAAAGACACTTTACTGGTAGTTTATTGCTTAATATTTAGCATTTCTGCTAAAGCCCCTCTCCCCAGCCCCCCTTCTCTGCGGTACCTGGATAAGGATGGATTGTGAGCTTCCATCTTGTGAATGGGGTTTTTCTTCTAGTGCGGCAAGACATAAATTATTATTCACCTCCCTGGAGATGAGACGACCATAAGAAGTGCCTTCGGTCAGAAATCTATTCATATCTGAAAATTCCTGAAGTATTCATCTTTGAAAAGCTTTATGCGTTGCCAAGATGAGGATTTGCGTTCAGATTGATGTTTCCATCTTTGATTTGTTGAATTACTAATCCATGTTGGCCGGAAGCCTTTGCTGGACATCAACACAATGAAGGAAAATAAATAAAACGAGAACTGAGATTCCAACATAAATCGCCTCTTCCAATCATCTACTGATTCGTGCGAATTTCAGTGCGAAAATATTACAATAGCGCAGAATGTTAAAACAATAGCCCTTTCACACGTCACAAATGGCGTCACAGTTTTCTTTTAAACTACAATGTTTTGATACAGCAAATGTTAAATATTCAAAAGTAGGAGTCAAATTCAATGCTGAAGTCTGGCCAGCTGATGTCTCATTTCGCCAGCCAAGCAGATTGCATGGTACCAAATTCTGGAGAAGAGGGAGGCAATAAGATTCACAAAAAACATCAAAACTACATTTGATGAACGACTTGAATCATTTCCTGTCAATCAGGAAACTGAAAAGGCAGAAAATGAAAATTCTGAAGAAGAAAGAAAGAAAGAAAGAAAGAAAGAAAGAGCAAAGTCAAAATCTCTGGTCAGGGAAGGAGACCTCATTCCAGTTTTAGCCCCAGAAAGTAGGGAAGCAAAGTTTTCGTTGTTTCTTTGCACGAGCAAATGCAAAAGGGGTGGAAGTATCAATGGAAAGTGACTTAGTCCAGAGGGACAGGGGGGTGCATTACCACCTGACGAGGGACTTTAGCAGACTAACTTTTTCTAGCTCAGATTTGGTGTAGAATTCAAATCTGGATGTTGATCAGGCAGGAGAGGGGGCTTTTCCGAAATATAGGGGGTTTTGTCCAAAAACTGGGATGGAACCTGTGAATAAGCTGTCAACGATCACTCAAAAAGAAATTGTACCCGACAAACTTTTTCTAGCTCAGTTATTGGTCTAGAATTCAAACCTGGAAGTTGATCAGGCGGAAGAGGAGGCTTGCAGCTTGTGAATAAGCTTTAAATGACTACTTAGCTAAAGTAAGCTGCTTAGCTAAAGTAAAAAATGTATTCAACGAATTGAAGGTTGATGCTCCAGATGTCTTAATTGACCACGCGCATCGAATCGGTTGCCCAAGAATGGCACAGGGAAAGAGAGTGCACCAAGTATTGGTAAGATTTACAACTTGGAGGCATAGGACCATGGTCTATAGGGCCAGGAAAAATTGTACCCAGTACAAGATAAAATTGGATTTGACAAAGAAAAGGATTGACACAATAAGGAAGATAAGCGATTTGCTTACAAGGAAGAAGCTCGGTTTTGCATTTGCAGATGTTAACTGCCGTTTATGCACGAAGATTGGCAAGGAGTTTCATTACATAAATAGTGAAGAAGATCTGCAAGATATCATTAGAGAATATGAAGAAAGAAGTGCTACTCGAAGTGTTACCAGAAATGATACTAGTAGGGTCACTGAAGATCAGCAAGACGACCATGATGATGATGAAAATGGTGTTGGTGCCAATAAGAATAATTCTGGATAAGTAGCTTTGTTACAGACCATTTATATGAACCCTTTACTCCGTTATTCTTTAAATTTTGCTGATGGTAATTTTGGACACATTTCACAGTAACACAATACAATTATTAGTTTAGTTAAATCACAATCACCAGATTACCTTTTTCATGAAATCCCTCCTGAACGTCAACCCAGTTACGGTCTTAGATACCCTTGTGATTATGAAGTAAAAGTTGCTACAACTAATCGTTTTTCTAACAGATACTTTCATAACACCTTGCTTGAGTGGAATTTGCTTGATGAAGAGATTAAGAAATCAACATCCCTTTTTCAGTTTAAGAAAAATTATTTAAAATGATTAGACTGGAGGGTAATCCTATTTACAATATCTCTGATATTGAGGGCGTCCGATTGCTCTCCAAGTTGCGTTCAAAGTTTAGTTTACTGAATGAACTCAAATTTAGACACATTTTTGATAGTCTCACTCCATCATGTCTTTTCTGGCTACGGCAGACACAGAATATTTATATGTAGTTAATTTTGAGTTGTTTTTATTTGTGATATATAAATCTATTTATATTTTTTAAATATATTTTTTCAATATCTGATAGACTGATTTTTTTTTATTTTCCATTAAATTCTAAAGTAATCTCATTGATATTAAAATCTTATTGATCAAAAAATGATTGTCATTCCAGGACTGAGAATATCGCGCTTTGATTTATCTCATGAATAAAATGAATATATATTTCCCATACAGCCTGAACTATACAATGGGATAGCGCGACCTTTCTCACTGGGTGGGGGAGGATGTGGGAGATGCAAAACAAAATTTTACCAACAGAATTTCTTCTGTTATATTTGGCAAAATTTGCTTTCACAGTGACAACTTACCAAACATGTCCGTAACACTGTGCATATTTTGATGACAGATCAGTTAGAAGAGATAAGTATATACGAATAAATAACATAGGGAAATTTAAGTACAATCAAAGTACTCAGAAATTATAACTGGTATAAAATAAGAACACTATATTGAGCATAGCATGTATAAATCATCTACAAATTTTTCATCTGCTTACATCATCAATTTTTTTGCAAGAATTTTAGTGGCGAGTCATAAAAGTCAACGTCGTTCAGAAACAAGGTTTTTAAGATAAGTACAGATTAGAATCCTAAACATTTGAGTGCTAGATAGGATACATATCGTATTCCCTATGACCAAAACTTGGTTCTCTGATTTTTGAAGTCGCTTGGAAAAGATGCAACACAGTTTTGTGATACCCAGAGAATGTTCCCTCAAGTTTTGGAGCTTTGGAGTTTAAAAATTTTTTAAGATAATTGCTAATGGATTTCTACCAATACTAGACCATCTAAGTCATTAGGCTATCGTTTACAAAGGGTAGATGAAATATCTGATGTATGTAGATTTGATGTCTGATCTGATGTAGAAAGGAGAACAAAATTTCAAAGGTGCTTTGCATTAGGGTCTTATTTTCCTTGTTTTGAGTTCGGAACACCCACCTACAATTTTGTCCAAATCAAGGCAATCTAAAACATCAACTGCACAAGCTGAAATCATTTTTAGTCTCCTGAAACTATGCTCATTGCTAGCAACTGAAATTGGAATTGTTAGAGCGAGTTGGTAAGCTTTACCAAGATATGGGTAGAATTTCCGTTTCCCTTGCAACAACATGGCAGCTTCTCTCAAATTTTTTGTTTTGCTGTTAGAAATATCTTCACCGACCTTTTCCATTTCTGCCAATAATGCATCTGGATCTTTGAGGTCGTTGGGAAAGACATCACACAACTGCTTGACTTGGCTTGCATTACATGTTTTTATTTTATCTGGCAGCAAGACTGTGACAGGAACAACAATTTTTGACAAATAAACAATTATTTCTTAAGTGTCAGAGGCTACTCTGTCAATGACTTTAAACATCTCTTGGACATGATGCATTTCAAACAAAGGGGCCCTAAAATTGTCTCTGTCCTCATCAATGCTCTTTCGTACCTTGCGGGGGCAATGCTTCTTCAAAAACTCATAAAGAGGGGCCATGCCAGAGGGAACATTTTTCCACTGCTGATTTAAGAATTGTGTCCAAACCAATCTCATCATTTCGAATGCGTATTATGTATATGGCATAATGCATCAAGGCTGGATAAAATATGTTGTTCAATCTCTTGAACTTCAAGAACAAATTGTTTTATGGCCCAAGCATGTGATGTACGGTATTTGCCACTTTAAATGCTCACTTACTTTGGCCTGTGCTCCATTATAAGCTCCCGACATCAAAGCAGTGGTATTTTAGCACTAAAAGAGAACTTTTGCAAGAGAAAGCTGGAAGTCCTCTAACATTGTGATGACTTCGTAGCCACTTTTCCCTTTAATTTGGGAAATTTTCATGAGCCTTTCATTGAATTCCTGTCGACATACCAGATGACTAAGGAAATTTGATCAGCATGGCTTATATCAGATGTCATATCTGCCATGACTGCGTAAGCTCCACATGAAATTATTTGGCTAACCAAAACTTTGCAAATTTCCTCTCCAAGAACACCAATAAATTCATTCTGTGACATGGCACTGAAGTAGGCTACGTGATAAGACCAGAAATTGTTGGTTTTAAGCTAGAAGTCTATAAACGAACCCATCTTGTTTCAAGGAGTACTAACTGCACAAAATTTCCTTTGGCATCATCTTCACCTCCATGAAATGCAAGGAACTATCTTGACCATTATCGACTTCAATCCACTAAGAGTGTTATAACCTTTTGGTTTGGTGATCACTCTTGGTCCTCCTTACTGACTTGCTGTTTTTTGGCAGCAGATATTGCTACATTGACATGACTTTCTTTACGCTGAAAGTTCTTTAATCGAATAATCGCTAGTTTATGTGGAACACTAGTGAAATGATCCGCCAGTTTAGCTTTCTTCTTCCATCCACGGCTCTTCCTTTTTACCCCAACGATTGACTCCCTCTGTAACCCAATTGGTTTCAGAACGATTGGAATTTTCTCCAAATAGGCTGCATGCAAAGCAAAATGCTCTATCTATACTTGGACTGTATTCAAGAAAAGGTAAGTCTGTACCAATTTTCATTAAAAGAATTTTGCTTTCCTTTTGAAATTACTTCATTAATGCGAAATTTGTCTAATACTTGCCAGAATGGCCCTTTGAATATGACGAATTCCTTCTGCTGTGGCAACAAATTTATACCTCTCCCTTCTAAAGGATCCCTTTCGATAGCACAACTTGAACCGCTGTCTGATCTTGAAAGAATTTTTTCAATAATCAACTTGTAATTTCCCAACGCCTCATTCGCTAAATGATGAAGTTCACTATATCTTTCCTTGATCCCCAACGCCAATTTCTCTATTTCCGATAAAAAGACTTCCTCGCTATATCCAGTTATCTGAAAGAAAGATTGCAGAATCTGACTTTCTTTTGCGATCTCCAAAATTGGTCCAAGCATTGCGGCAAGCTCAAAATCTTTTGTCGGTTGCTCTTTGCTGCTGTAGCTTTTATCCTTAAAATATTAATGAGAGCATTGAAAATCCGAATATGAATCAACTATGTTGTTTGATTTTTCTCATCAAAATGATAAGAAAGGTTACTTAAACTCATTAGACTGATTTTAACAAATTTCCATCCCAGTAGAAAGGTTAGGGTAGCGGAGAAGGGTATTTTATTTTTTTTTTCATTGGTTATAAATTATATCTAAATTACATATATCATGCGGGTACAACTAGTAATGATGTTATGCGACCGGCACAGAGACAATCTGAAGGGCAAATCACTCCTGAAAATAGTCTACGAGATTAATAATCACTAGTGATCAATTTGTGATTTTTGTGTGTGATAAATTAGATTTTTTCGTGATAAAAGTGCTTAATTAGTGATTAATTTTTCATCATCTTAAATTTATTTACAGATCCAAAAGTGCTCTCAAATTAGCTTTTGTGCAAAAAACCCAGCTTGAACATACCAAGATGCATAAACAAAGGAAAATATTCGCCATAAGTCAAACTTAACAACAATTTTTCATAAATCAAATAACAACCTTTCCTGCCAGTTCGACAGAGATTTTTGTAATGTGCTACATGGAATTGAAAAAAAAAGTTGGAGCATCCATAACAACCGATTCGTCGATGGTAGCCATATAACTGTCAGCAGTGAGGTACTCACATGTAAATTCTAACTCAACCATTTAAAAAGAAAAAATCTGCCCCTTGAGACGTTTTCCATCACTTCAAGAAATCGTGGAGAAACCAGTTTACAACAACTCCAATGTTTTTTACGGAATCTTAAGACAAGTCCACATAGTTATTTGAAAAGTGTTTTGTCTTTTGTTTTCTGTCAAATATGAAAATTGGACTACTCGCCTGATTAGGTATTTATTGCAATCCACTCTCTGAAAGAGGCGCTTCCAAAACATTCACAGGCTCGGATGTTCATTCTGTGCACGTATTTTGAACAATTTAATCTGTGATAAAGTTTCTTCATTGTTTCATTGTAGAGTTTCGATTTCGTCACTGGACAGTGTTGCTGTCTCAGACTGATCCAGTTCTACATTTTGTCCTTGCTGATTTTCAGGAAAATCAATTTCATCATTAACCAAGCCATCATTTTCTCTAGGATGTTGAAGGGCTTCTTTAACACTTCAGCTTAAGAAATTATTGATCATCGTATGAATCAAAGCAAATATTGCATGATTCAGCTAACTCTATTGCACTTGACTTTGCAGCAAAATTGGTCTCAGAAATATCTTCAAGCCTTGGAGTAGACACCATATCCAGACTTTCTTCGTTAGTCTGCAAGAGCCATTTTTTCCCTCGCGAGAAAATTATTTCATTGTAACTTGTAACTAGCAAAAGACAAAATTGTAACTTGTGTTTTATTTTGTTTTTTTTTTCTTTCTTTTTCTTAAGCTATTAATTCTGTTAATTAATTTAATTTCAAATTCCGTTAAAATTCCTTGCATTGTAAAATTTCAATTGTTGAGACAGTTTGAGTCATTGCATGAAGGATTCTAAATAATTGTTCACAATCTTGAGAGCACCAGATTCCAAGTGCCTCCTGGGAAAATACCCTGGATTCAACATTATAAAAAGTTCAACAGCATTGAGTGTTTACTTTAGTGCATGTATAAGCGTTGTTACTGATAAAAAAGAAGGCATCTTTTTGGCATTGACTGTTCTCCAAATCCTCAAGGAAAAATTTGATTTCCAAAAATTTGCGTAAGCTACCTAATGCATGAAGTGACTTGTCAAAAAAGAACCTCGAATATCTGGCATTAATGAAAGATATTCTTGTCCCCTTCCATTTGAGAGCAAAGTAATTTGGCAAGTCAATCATCAACACGAGGCTCCAGCAAAAGTTCTATGCTAGAATAGTTTTGCTTATCCCTGGAATCAATAGCCGGCTTATTCATGCCATGATCTGCCTTGGGAAAGGATTGAAGAATTTCTGCTATGTGTCCTCTGCATGCTATTTAGGAACCCAATGACGACAAGTTTGAGGGTGTTATCAAACCAGTTCTTAGTTTTGCAAGTAAATGTACGGTGTCTTGTGCACACAAAGAACTCGTAGATAGTTCTGGCATATCATATAACAACCATCCTTTTGGAATATTTGAACTTCTACTTGGAAATTGTGATAAGTCCTGTTTTCTCTACCATGGCCTTCCTTTTTCTCTACCATGGCCTTCAGAAAAAGGCCAGCACCATCGCTTCGAAATGTATGGCAAGCCGTAGTGGACAAAAGGTGGTTGAAAAAGAAACCATATGTTGAGATTTATATCATTAGGGTCCAGAATTATTGACATGTGGTTGAAATCATAATTGTTAGTGATCAGTTCTTAAAGTGTTGCTACACTACAATTTCTAAAAAACTCGGACACTAAAAATTCAAAGAACTCAGACACCATGATTTGAAACTCAAGGCTATTGGAAGAGAACTGAAGCAACAATTACGGCTTGCCATAGAAATTATGATGTCTTGCAACAACAAACTGTCTTCAATCTGCATCCGTCTTTGAGAAATTTTTTTATCACGTTTCTTTAAATCAGTACCCAAAACAAACAGGACAAATGGTACGGCAGGACTAAATGTGCCACAACTCAATGTGCATTTACAGCCTCTTTAACTTCCTAAAATTAAAAGATCAGGAAAAATTAATGCTAATAGCAAAAACGCATGATCGTAGTGGATTGCTCACGAACTTCTGGTAAGGAAAAGCCATGTCATAGTTTCTGGATTTTTGCAGCTGTAAACAAAGACAATTGTCAACATTTCTATTGTTTTCAAATGCTCATGACATATCTGTGAAGAGATTTGCTTCTATTCTAATACTGTTTAGCTTTTATCAAAGTTCGATTGCCCAGTACTCGTTTTCTTCAGTAAGTCTTATTAACATTAAGACTATAGTGCACATGCCTTGAATGAGAAACTGGCATTGCAGCAAATAGATTTGGGCAGCTTCTGGAGCCATTTTGTCATTTTATCTTTGAGATCTCCTGGAATCAACTTGGCCTTTTTTTCTGAAAATGGGATGACACATCTTAACTTGCCATTCTGTTTGAAACTTTTGCCTGTTTTTCTTTGCTGCCTCTATAACGTAATGATTTGTTTTTGATAAGATTAGCATCCTGCATTTTTTTAACATTTGCAATTAACACATCAAGAGAAGGCTGAAAACAACGAGTGCCATTAACAAACCATAAACAAATTTGCATCATAATGATGTGAGCGAGGCCTCTACCGCAGGTACCCAAATGGCAATGCTTTGTATCTTATACTAATCTTAAGTCCAGGCAACAAAGTAAGCTTTTGTGGATCTTTATGAAATATGCCAAATACACACTTTTTGTCTTCTACAATACTGCTTGAGGATTTCATGAATTCAACAAGTTTTTCCAATTCACCATCTTCAGGAGGCTTGGACACAGCCTTTGGAGTTTCATACCCACAATATTTCAACAGTTTTTTATGTAGCCTGCTTGTGGAGGTTATGTGTTCCAAATGTCTTCTGATGTTGTCACTATTGGTACTACACCAGTTTTGTTATGCTAGAAAAAAAACAAACAAAGTTGGCACATTTTCCTTTCAAAATGAACAAAATTTTATCATTACTTACTTTCTTTTGCTTCTCTATCACTATCTTTGTCTTCTTGATCAAATTGCAAATGGATTGAACTGGATAATGTCATTGTTGGCAATCACAGCAGCAATCAACAGGAAACGAGTTAAAATGGTTGTTGGTGTCAATTCAGGGTTGCCACTCTCGGAATGTGGGACATACCTTCAGCGCATGCATTGGATCCCTACCTTCCCCTACTGATTCTTCCTCAATTATCACTATAAATCAAGTGCTGTAATGCAGTTTAGGCCACCCTTATTCAATAACCAAGTTCAATAACATACTGTTGTACTCTCATTGGCATCACAGCCTTATCGTACGCCCCCTGCTATATTGCGGCTACGCCCAAGTTTATAAAAGTAAAAGTTTTAGATACAACACTCCTCCTTGAGTTGTTGTGACCTCTGTGATACTTTTTTGAAATATTTTTGAGATACATTCCTTTCATTCAAGGAGGGTAGCCCTTCGGCAATGCTGATTTTCAAGGGGTTCTCCACGTAAAATACTTACAGAAACTCTTATAAAAGCAAATTACCCTATTAACAATTCAATGTTTACTATTTGAAATAAATCCTACTTTAATTCCTTTATTTGATTTAACTTTTTACAACAAATATCAACAATGAAAAGCCAAATGGTAATTTAAAATATAGAATTTACAATACTATACAAAAGAATAATTGGAGCTGGTCATGTTATGCTAAATTTTTTAAATGCAATTTGATAACTTTGCTACATTTACTGTTGGTTTTTCCTATGCAAAAATTATCCTTCCCCCTTATCGTGAATTTCTTGAGGTTCTAAAAGGCCTGGTTTCAAAAATTTTGAGAATGGTCTTGTTATCTTCCTATGGGCCATGAGTGTCTTTGTTATTTCACTGTATAAATTCCTACAATTTTTTAATTATACCCACGAAAATTGCCAACAAAGATTTGAAATTAAACTCCATTCACTTTACAACCTTTCTTTTTTAATATAGCTGGCAAAGGAGCTTGAAGTAATTGTTTCAGTGACAGAGATGACTTATTCTGTGACAAGGCCTTCACTTTTGTCCCTTTGCAGGGTAATGAGAAAATTCTCTGTTGTTTTGTCCATGTTCTAGAGTGTGAGTTTGCAGATTTTCAAATGTTTTATAGAAAATTTTGAAATGCTAATAAATTGGTCGAGAGTTCAAATATTTGTGACTGGTGCATTTTTTGTGATTAATGTGTTTATTTCGTGATTGGTGTAATTTTTTTGTAATTAATGTGATAACTTTGTGATTAATGTGATTTTTCTGTAATTAATGGTTTGAAGAGGATTGACTTTATACTCCCACTGCAGATGATATATCAGGGCATGTAGCAATTGCTGCATACATAATTGATCCAATTACAGCTTGATAATCCCTCACATTTGCTTATTTTTCTCCGTCCCTCAGTTTTTCAAACTTCTTCCCAACTTTTATTGGCATTGAAACTGGTTTGCAGTCGAACACGTTGAATCTTTTCAGCAAATTCTCAAAATATGCTCTTTGATTAATGGTGAGAGTCTTTAAATCTCTGTTTCTTTTGATGGACATGCCTAAGCAGTAATGAATTTCTCCTTGATCTTCCATTTCAAATTGATCTTTCAATTTCTTCTCCAACATGTCACAACTGTTTGTTGCTAACATAATATCATCAACGTATAATGCAATCAACATTGTATACCGATCTCCTTTCTCAGCCTTATAGTAGATGCATGGATCGGCATTGCTTTGAACATAGTCAATAGAAAAAGAATGGTCTGGAAACTCTATTGTTCGAAGATCGATATCATGATTCCACTAGGTTCCAGACTCTTAGAGTGCACCAAGTTGGTCTGTTGTTGTGTATGTGTTGACTCGAGACGAGATAGAAATGGAAGCTGCCGAACCCGAAATTACTTTTGTATCTGAACTTGAGGTTATCGTTGATTTTATGGGTGATCAAAATTTCTTTGATGATAATGAAGACTTCGAGAAAGAACTTGTTGATATTTCTATTGAGGTAAGTTAATTCTATTTTATTTTAAACTTCAAATCGCTTATGACACGTCGGCGACCCTTCTAGGCCTATTACCAACCAACCAGTTTATTGCACACGATCCAGTCGAGGTGCTGTAAAAAAACAAAAACATGTTGGGGGTGGTAAGTTTTGAGCAAATACCTGTGTCATGAATATAAATTTTAGTTGTTGATGGTTTAACAAACCGGACCTGGAACATTTGGAATCAAATGTAGTAAACTACCTAGCCCAAAACCAAACAGCATTGCGTTTTAGCAAGGCAGTATACTGGCCTGTATGATCTTACTGTCACCTATGATTGCCCAGTGTTTTTTGCAAAATTAATACAATGTGGCTGGGAGAGGATATCTCTCATTTTCTAAAAAAATAATCGTTGTACATGCTTACAACCCAATGCACACAAACCCTAGTTGAGCATAATATAAAACTATGAGGTTATGATATTGAAATATTAAAAAAGTAGGTAAAATGCCAAAATTCAAAAGCTAAATGTGACTATAGGGTTAAAGATGCAGGTACACAATTCAACTGAATTTAAATTCTAGCATTTTACATTTTAGGATGAGCCTGCTCCTGATCATTCACTTAGATGTACTGATTGTAAGAGGGTGTACAAGACAAGAAGGGGACTGGAAAGACACACTGAGATATGCAACAAAAAGAAAAATCCTGTTGATCAGCAAATTTTGGTCAGCCTACTCACTGAAGCTTTAAAAAAAGTTTCTCTGGATGAATGTTGCCCTGTAGAAATGCAAGAAGATGTTGCAAAATGTATCATTTCTAATGACCATCCTCTTGTCAGTTCCAAACTGGTTGTAGAACTCTTTAGTTCACTGTGCAGTAAACTAGATATTGAGACATTTTATGTTGAATATATGGCACAGGTAGTTGCTAAAGCAAATATATGGCTTCCTGACTTGAAAGAAGCTACAGCAGTTCAATTAGCCATGCAATATGGTGAAAAAATGGTTCTTTTCTTCATTTGTTTCTTCAAATCTTGAGCTTCATTTCCACCTTGAAAATTGTTTTCAAATGGATCAATTTCTCTTGCAACAGAATGTCTATTGAGGCCATCATGAAACAGTCCACACCTTCACAAACAGTAAGCTTTAATAGTTCTTGCAACAATGATGCTATACTGTGAATTCTGACGTTTCTTTTATACTTTTTGTAAATGTAATGATCATCTGGTAAAGAAAATCCAAAAATAGTCACTGCGAAGTCAAGACTTTCATCAACATTTACTTTGATTTTGCTAGCAATAAATCCTTTTTCTTTCCTTTCAAAGATATAACTACTATCATTAAGTTTTCGGTCCCACCCATTTAACTTAAGCTTGGCCACTGATTCAGAAAATAAATCGAAAATCTTGCATGCTCGCTTTGGCTTGCTTAATGGCACCTCTTGTTCACGTTTTCACGTTTTTCAATTTGAAAAAAACTTGAATTCCTTGGTTCTGCGTCTTTTTCAAATGATTTTTTTGGCAAATTCTGTGATGGTAAACTTCCAAATCTGACTTTCTTTCTGTCAACACCTGTAGAGAAATTATAACACAAAATAAGTAACAATAACAGCGTTCACTTATTTACAGTTCATTTCAGTTCATTTAATTTTAAATCCTACTACATAGAAATTTTGTCAAAAAAAACTATAAGCTAAACATAACTACAGAAAAATTAGAAAATTTTCATGAAGAGGTATTCTTAAGGAAGAGGTCTCTCAGTAGCCAAAATACTTTGATCTTTTGGTCAAACGCTATTGAATTTGTCAGCTGTGGCGAAATTTATGCATAAATTGGGAGGCTAAATGGCCCTCCCCCGTTTAGTATGACTGGATACATTTTTCTCAAAAAGAAGCGCTGACATATGAATACAGTACAAAATTAAGCAGGCAACTCAGAACATCCACTGGGCAGGGCTCGCTACGCCACTCGAAACCCATATTTCTGCTACGAGTCTAGAGTTTTGAATAATATATCGTTGATTTTTGCATACTCACTGTGTTCAATGTCTTCTGGAGCAAAATGCAATTCGCAAATATGCAATGAATCTCGCGCTTTCTGCTCTTTGAACGAGGGATCTTGCTCTCTCTTTCGTTCAATAATTGCAATCCATTTTTCTCTTATAATTTATGCCTCTGCGTCTATTGCCTTCGGAAGTTAAAAAATCCCGATACCTGATTTTCTTCAGCTTGAACTACAGCCAAAAATTGAACAGTTTGCTCCCGGCATTACTTGATCATCATGTTTTCAAGGCACAACAACAAAGAATCTAAGGCCACAAAAGTTTTGGTGCACCCAAAGAGTCTGGGGGAACAAACTCTTAATTGATCAACATGCGGCTCAGAATCCTTTGATCTGTGCCGACATTCCAGACCATTCTTTTTCTATTGACTATGCTTTGAACGTATCCAGAATCTTTCAGATACCTATCCATTGTGGTATTCCAGCATCTTGCGCAATGTTTCAAGCCATAAAGACTCTTTCGAAGTCTGCATACTTTATCTGGATGGTTTTAATCAGCATAGCCTTTTGGCTGTTCCTTATAGATCTTATGCTTGAAATCTCCATTTAGAAATGCAGTTTTCACGTCCATTTGGTGGAGTTCAAGATTCAGTTGATTTGCAATTGAAAAGTGTAATAATAGTCTTGTCCAGCTTCTTGAGAGTAGCCCTGAGCCACCAATCTAGCTTTGTATCGATCCACTGTTTCATCTGCTTCACATTTCATCTTGAAGACCCATTTGCGTGTGACAACATTCTTTCCTGGTGACTTGACTAAAAACCTTGGGTATAAGGCACCATGGCCTTTGTGGATGTTGATAATGTGATTCAAAAGGGACAACCATTTCTCCTTGATCTCTTGAATGTTCCCCTCTGATGAAGCTGAATGTATACATGATTTTTATGTATTGTATCCATTCCAAAACTGCCCTGTTATTTTTTTTCTTCCCAATTTTCTCAACCATTTTTCCAAAAGCTACAAAAAACCAAAGAAATAAACCCTTTTGTTAACTAAAACTTTTTGTTATTTGGAAATGTGAACCAAAATGTTATCATTCTCAAAATTAGATTGGCAAAAGTTTTTGCTAATTATGTGATCTAAATAGCCATATATTGTTCCTAAATATATGTTCTAGGGAATATTAAGTTGACAATTGTTTGACTGGTAGCAGCAAATTAATTTTGCTGAGCAAGTTTCCTATTCGTAAATGTTGTATAAAGATCTTGTAAACAGCCAATATATTTTTCTAGACTCTAGAGTGACTCGTGTTTTGATAAATTATTATAAGATATTTGATAATAATATGAAAATGTACTGACATTTTGCAACATGAAAAACATCAAAATAGTGTTGTTTATCTTTTTTTCAGTTCTCATGTACTTCCTTACTGGTCCATGCCTGTCCGTTACCAAAATTTTGTATGAGACATCTTCTATCTTCTGCAAAGCTCTTTTCAAATTTTCTAGCTCCTGTTTCCTCCACCAACTTCATTTGACTAGAATGATAAGAACTTTGTTCTGTTAACCAACTTTGTTATGTCCATTATTTACATGGTAACAGGGGTGTAGAGCCTGACCCTCCTATTCAATTTGAAAGTAATTCTTCAATGTTTCTTCTGGTTTTTGTTTTTGATATACTTTTTGCTAAATCACCCTTGTTCCTTTCATAGCACTACACCTCGCAAATATTGGACGGACAAAATGGCGGATGGGTTGCATGTATCTATGTGAGGTTAAACGAAGCTCTTGCTTGGGCAACTGCAACAAATAATGCTTTGATTATGACTTTTCTATGCTGTACTTTATAAATGTGAATTGATCTCTAAATAAAGTACGGTTCTCTGCGGAAATTATGTCAAGAAAATCAAGAACACAAAACAACGAGTGAAGAGCTAGGCCAGCATGCCTCTTCAGATAATGAAAATGCAATTTCACAAAAGTCGATGGATGCCTTTGCTGCTATTGTCGAAGAGAAATTAGCAAATGTTGCCAGGAAAGAATGTATCTCTGAGCTAAAACAGATGATTCTTGATCAACAACTGAAGATCTAGAAACTTGAGGCAAAGGTCATGGTCATGGAAAAATATTTGAAAGAATTGAAAAGGTGGAGCGGCGTTATTTCTCTGGACCTATCACACCAAAGAGTGAAGCTATTGAAAAGGGCCAAAGAATTAATTGAAAATGATGATGGCTATGCATTTGCTGATGTAAACTGCCAACTATGCATCAAGAACAATGGAAACTTCCTTCCTTTCCAAAATCAGGAAATCCAGTTTAAAAAGGAAGAAAAAAAAGGCATACTTACGATCTATATGGACTTTATGACATTATCAAGTACGCCTGAAAAACACTGCTCGCTGTGGAAGCTGCCGAAAATTCTATGCCTGTTCATGGTTTGTTCATAGTTAATTGTAGTATAGTTTGTACCAGTTGAGTTCCTTGGGCTGGTTTTCTGCTGAGTGATGGGGGTTAGCACGGTGCTACAAACTTAAAATTTGCGAAGTTCCTCGCGCTGTGTGGCTTCTTGTTGCCTAGTGGAAAGCCCCTCAATGTCACGCTGAAATTATAAAACACCATAAAAACATATTTTTCAAGTAATTTCTGTATGTGTGCAAGCATATGAATTAAATTCTATTGATCATTTCTGCTACATGTTGTGGAAACACAATTGACAATCACAACAATTTTGATGAATTTGATCAATTTCCCTTGCCCCAAGAGCATGCCCACAAAAACCCCAAGAGCTAGTGCAATAGTGCATCGCAATAGTGCATCACATATTGAAAAGGATGTTCGCTGGAGGAAATTATTACATAGTAATTGCATAGAATCTTTCTTATCCCGAGAAGGGCAAACAGACATTGATTCAGAATTCAACATGGAACCAATCATTTTAATTTCCTTAGATGGCAGAAACACAAATTTTGCTAGCATCAGTGGTTTCAATAAAATGATATGATGGCGTTTTCTTGGATAACCAACGTAAGCAGATTCAATCAGGCAATAATGGGCTGAATGTTTCATCGCTTATCTCTGGTTAACAACCGAATTTTAAAAATGGGGATGACAAAATTGTAGATATACTTCTTTGCTATGCATAATTGTATGAAGCACTTCAATAATGACAATTTTCGCGTTCAGCATTAACTTTGTGTAGCACCGGTGTCATATGTGTTTCGGTAACCTTATGCATTTCGGTCCCGGTACACAAACCCATGACAATTTTGCTTATACAAAAATGTACCAAAGCTTTTAAAAAACAGGGAACCGAAACGAATGGTGGATATAAGCATTCGAACCGGTCTGGGAACACAAATGTTCTGGTTCACACTGTTCAGAATGTAAAGAACAATGGAACTATTTCTAACAAGAGGCTACTAACAAGAAGCAGTGCTGTGATTTCCCTTGTTGAGTTTATGCAAAAAAGTAAAACATTAATGGCAACTCCAAAGTTTTCTTGATTAAAAAGTGTGAAATTTTAAACTCAAAAAGCATTGTGCTCAATTTGTTATTTGTAAAGTGTCGTAATATCGCACTACGCTAAAATCACATGATATGAAACACATTGCGTTTCACAATGTTACATATTTGCATAGGGTACCAAAACGCATTTTTCCCCACACCTTTGTATAGGAGGTGCGAGCGTTACTGTTGCAGCTAATTCAGTGCTACTTTCTCTTCAGATTTCTATTGTTTTTGACGCTATACCATTGCCTGGTTGAAATTGTAAACAAACAGTCTGATTGGCTCAAAACATTTTTCATCCTTGTTGGGCTTATAAGGTACCTGGACAGTGGTCGTGTCACATTCAATGTGAACTCCTGAAACACAAGAGAGTATTTTATTGTCTCTAGTTACTTGTTTCCATTGAGAAATGTATGTTGCAACCCTGCCAGCTTTAAAGTTTGTACATTCGCAAGTAGAACATTTGGTTAACATTGATAAAAATGAGAAAAATTCACATACAGTTGAAGGATTTGTTAATGTCTTCAGGACTGTTTTTCTTGACGGTGTGGTGTTTGGTTTTGATAGTTCTGGGGGTATTGTTTCTTGTAGGGCTTTCTCCTGAACGGATGATGTTGATGGCCTGACCATAAAAAATCTTGCTGTTGAAAGAGTCGGATGTTTATCAATGCCCTGTTAGGGTATGAGCAGGTAAAATGTCCTGTGTTGAGGGTGAAAAATGAAAATTTGATCTAGGGTTTGGTTGGAAAATTCTACCAATCTTTTTTGCTTCTTCAACGTCTTTAACAATTTTACCAAAATCGTCACCAAAGACAAAAGGGCTGTGCGGTAAATCTGAGAGATTGATACAGGGAGACTGGTAGTCTTCTTTTAGGGCTAGTTTCATAGAATTACGCCTTAGGGTTGAAATTTTTGCTGTGGCATTACCAAGGAGTGCAAGAGCATCAACTGAACTCACAACGTATTTGTCAATGTTTGCTCTATCAGGATCCTTTGAGCTAAAGAGATAGTGAATGTTTTGTAAAACAATAATGGCAACTTTTTAAAACGTTTGCTGCAAGTTAGCCAAGTGAAGATTGTGTTGTTTTTTATCCACAGACAAATTTGAACATGCCTCTTTGTTTACCTTAACAGAAAAAAAGGTTTATGCAGTTCTCAGGGCGGTTATATCTCTCAAGTATAGCAGAAAGTTTGTCTGAAGAAAGAGCCTTACCCCAACGTGAATTCCATAAGAGGCTAGTTTGAGGTCGACATTATCAGCAACATCTGATGGAGTTTCAAGTGCTTGGGCAAGCTCATCAAGTAGTGACTCTTCATCGATAGTTGACTTCCTTCGATTTTCATTCGAGAAAAGGTACTTAACCGCATCAGAAAGGGCGATGGCACATTCATCATCACGTGGTGCAGGCAAACATAGCTCATCATCATCCTCATCACCATTTCCAAAGAAACAGACTTTCTTGGAATGTGTAGATGATACCGCAAAATTTAGAGAGCTTTTACCCCTAGATAGTCCTGTGGAAAAGGGAAAATGATCTCTATTCCAGGTGGGCTCAGTCTTGGAAACTCCAATGGAGGAAGATTGTTCTTCATATCCGGTAGACAATTGTTCTAATTGCCTGGTAGATAAAAGGTCAGTTTGTCCCGTGAACTCAAATTTACGCTCGTTGGGTGATTGAAAAACTAAAGAAATGGTTTCATCTGGATCCGTTGCAAGCTTAATGAGTATTTTTGAGATGCAGCTCAATTTCGTCAATAATTAGAAGAGGAGAAAGAAGAGGAGATTAAGAGCTTGCAGAGAAGAACCTGGAGATAGATGAATTTGTAGAAAATCTAGACATAGCCATCAATGAAAAATTATGTGCACAATATATGAAATCTCATTACAAAACCGAATTAAGAAAGAATATGTTGAAAATAGCAAAGATATATTTAATTAAAAGACTGATGATTTGAAAAAAAGAATAACTGAATTGGAGAATGAGAAGTTGGAAAGATTAAATGTTCTTTGAAGGGACATGAGATTTATTTTTATGAAAATGGGAAATTTGTTGATAAGATTCGTATTCTGTATGAAGACCTGCTTTGTTTAGATGTTAGCACGAATAATGTTGGGATGTTATTAGTAAATGTTTGAAAGTTGTTGGAGTCAATGTCCATAATCTGCCAAAGTCCACATTTGATAAGTATATGCTCTATGAGGCAAGGGCATTGGCACAGCTTCATGTTTTTGATGGATTGAAAGAAAACTGGAGCACAGAGAACAGGACTTTGCTTTCTGATGGAACTTCAAAGAAAGGCAGATCATTTATAACATATGATATTGTCAAAGATCATTGAGTATATTTAATAACTGGCCCAAGGGAAATTGCAAGTGGAGATTCTGCTACACAGATAAAAGTTTTGCAAGATGTTCTTGGTGATGTTTATTTGATGTTCGATGTTGGGTGGGGTGGGGGTGGAGGGGGATTGTTGGTTGGGTCAACAAAATTATAAAAAGTATCAACAATGTGATGTCACATCGTTGTGCTCCTCAAAAAAAGTTTAACGATTTGTTCCCTTGTTTCAGAAAGATGTTTTGCCAAGAGAGATGTTTTGTTGAGGGTTGGGAGTCTCTGACTAATGCGGAAAAAGCAAAGTTAAGTGGAGTGAACGAGTTTTTTTGTGGGTGACACTAGCTTGTAGCACTGGCAGCTCAAGCAGAGGCTTGTTGCAAAATCTGGGATTCCTTGTGTTGGAAGGACAAGAAAGTTGGTTTTTTGTTACAGCAACGGTTAATCAAGGGCATACAGGTTGATCCAAACTGTTTGTGAATCAGTGCAAGAGAAAGCATGCGAAAAAACGATCTTGAAGTTACGTCCTTTCTAACAGTATGCAGAGCTTTAGGTATGATAGATAAATTATTAATCTGGTAAAGAAATTTCAAAAGATGGACATATTTTAGATATGAATGTTTTTTACCAAGGATAATTCGAAAAAATTTATTTTGTGGGGGTCAGATGCATCTGAATTTATGTCTGGTGATATGAAATTATTTGGAGATGACATTTTGGTCAACAAAGATTGTGTATTTGAACATCTTTTTTGCCTAGAGATGAGGAACATGAGCAGACGACAAAGCAATGTTTAGAAATATTTTTTTTGTGGGTTTGCAGCTGTGACAAAGATGTTACTGGGGGATCATTTATGGGAATTTTGGGGTAAAGAGAAAGAATAAGCTTTTAGAAAAGAAACAAAGAATGTAGAGAAAAGTAATATTAAATCAGAAAGAGATTTTGGAATGCCAGACAACCGAATAAAGTTAAAAACCAAAAGCAAGTGATTTTGCAATTGAAAGCATTATTATGTTTAAAGCTAACAAGACAGGGGATTAGAGGGAGAAATTATCAGAGGAGAAACGAAACAAGTTCCTAGAAATTGCAAGGAAATCTAAAAGGTGCAAAGAGATAAATACTTGGCATCAAACAACAAATAATTATGCAAAGAGTACAAAAAATGTCTGAAAAACTAGAAATGAAGGAGCAGAAGGAAATTGTAAAGGAAAGTCTTCATTCTAAAATTGAACAGTTGGGTCTATTGAAAACAGAGGAGAAAGTCAAGGGCTGGGCTGGGTAAAAATGTTTGGATTGGGGAAAAGAGGGAAGCTCTCTGGTTGCACATACGGTTTAGAAATAAAGTCTTAGAAAATAAACATAGTGACAAGAGTATTTTTCAATTAACCAGTAAAGGGATTTCTAATAGTCTAGAAGTTTTATATAAGAATCTTTGAATATATAATAAAATAGGCTGAGGACGATAAGGAATTGCTGAGGAAAAAAGATCAAATTTGTGAGCCAGGCACATCAAAGGTTTTTATTTTAGAAAAATCAAGTTTTTGGCAGAGAAGGACAGGTTATTAAAGAAAGCATCAGAAGATTCAAGAGAAACTCCAAAAGGAAAACAGGGACAGCCAAAATAGAAAACAGCGACAAGAAAAGAGTTGTATTCATCAGCCAGAACACCAGTGATATCATGTGCTGAGTATCTGATTGGGAAGAAAGTTTCTCAGAGATTTGTTGATTGTGATGGTGAAAGGTGGTACAATGGTACAGTTGTTAATAGTGGTATTGGAAGAAATCAATTATATATGATGATTACCAAAATGGATGGGTCCGGATTGTGTCCTAATTTTAACAACACATCGACATAACTTCACATCTTTGATTTTTTGTGACTTTTTGCATTGCACGATTGTGAAACGAGTCAAGTGTGACAAGTATAGGTTTCCAAATGTCCAAGTGACGCAGAGTGATTGGAAAAAAGACCATTTCATGGCATTACACCTTGAATGGCATTTCAGAGAACAGATGGATGACAAGTGAGCTTTTTGCATTTTGATTTAACTTGTTTGCCAAAAAGACACACAGCATCCACTTCTGCTAGTTTATAATGGCTATCTCACTCATGTGAATGGCAGAGGAGAATGGCTAACCGGAGCCAACACGGGAAAACAGAGGTCATGTTAATTAGCAACACAAGAGATATTACAACATATTGTAAGGACAACATCAGACTGATTCAAGTGACCAGGTTCAAGTACCTGGGAGTGACACTGAGAGTGGAGGTTCAATGGCAGCAGCGAGGTCAAGAGGTAGCAGCAGCAAAAAACAAGTGGATAGAATTAGAAAGAGTTATGGGAGAAAGATGCATATCAAGAAAATTAAAAGTTAGGATTTACAAAACCATCAACAAACCTGTTTTCATATATGGAGCAGAACTATAGATCATAAGAAACAAGGAAGAGAAGCTATTGTAAACCATAGAAATGAAAATGCTGCGAGGGATCAGGTTTTTGACCTTAAGGAAAGGCAGAGAAATGAAAGTATAAGAAGAGACTGCGGAGTGGAGAATATAACAACAGTAATAAGAAGATCAAGATTGAGCTTTTTTGGAAATGATTTGAGAATACAACCTGGGGATAAGAGAACTTTGAACCTAGAGGTGGAGAGAAGAAGGCCAAGAGTAAGACCAGTAAGAAAACGGATGGACAACATCAAGAAGGGCATGGAAGCACTAGGAATAAGAGAAGTGGATGTACTGGACAGAGAACGATGAAAGAGTGAGATCTAGCTCTTTAATTTTCAACATTAAAGGTAACCAAAAAGAAAACCCTCTTAGAGTCAAATGTAGCAATTCTACAAATTACCCCTGGAATTTTAAAAGAATCTGTTTTTCCTAAACTTTATTATCATATCTTGTAACCAGGAAAAATCATTTTTCTTTTTTCTATTTTTGTTATTTATATTTTGTAGAAGCAAAAGAATAGCTACCAACACAGTTTTTTAAGGATTTGCTTGTTTAATAGAAACTGCACAGGAAGCTGTTATAACGAGCAGTTGTCAAAGCATTCACTGTGAAAAATGCTTATCAGATGTTTTTAATGGGACTTGCCCACAATGCCAAGAACAATTGAAATAGTAGAATCAAGGAATATAGAATCCATTTTCAAGAACTATTTGGGTAAACATTTTGGCATATGCGAGATAATCCTGGATAACAAGACAAAATATGACTTTAGTTTTGGGAGAAAAAAGATCCAGAAATGTAATGCAATTGCAAGAAAGAAATACAAAGACTTGACAAATTTTATTTTTACTTGTTTTTTATTTTCGATACTTAAATCGTCCTCCAGGGCAATTTTCTCCACATATCTGTCCATATCGTTGTGTTTGGTTCCACCCATTGCTGGATGATCGACAGCAATGTAGCTTGGTCCCTTGCAGGGACTGGTACCAGGAACCCTTTCTTCGTCTCTGCCTTGTGTCCACCCAGTATCCACTGCTTTCTCACAAGGTGGCCACGCTCTGACTTTTGTAGCGCAAACAGACTTTCATAGATTTCAACAATGTGTCCCTTTTCCCCCTAGACGCTCTTGGTGGTTCACAAAATGCTGGACAGCCAAGACTCAACAAAACTTATTCCAGTCAAGAATGGTGTGCTCTCCGTTTATTTTCATCTCTCTCATTGTCTGCAAAACAGACAGCCCCCTCGGGCAGCCCACACTTGTAGCCCACAGGTATGTCAAGATGACAACCTGCCACAGCTTTGAATGCAAGCGCTTGAAAAAGTCGCTTTTTCGCACGTTTATCGTTTTTCTACAACTTGGACATCTCCTAGTAACGCCATTGATGTGGCGCCTGTACAGACCTTCTCCACAAGGTACCTTGCATACATCGCGGTCTTGTTCTCTCGAAAGCAGACCATGTTGCCTCGTCTTTGTCTTCAAATTGACACCCAATTGCCATCAAGTTGAAGGCCTCGAATTCTTGCATTGTTCTTAATGCCAAAAACTCCCACCTTTGATAATGCCAAAAAGTAGCCAATCTTTACTTTTGCACTTGTTTTTGCAACATTTTCCAAGAAGACCTCTCTTGGAGACACCAAGGGTTATGTACAAATCAAATCTCAGAAAATTACACAATACCCCTTTGCGACATCTGCGAGCTTGATTTGCATAAGAAGACTGGGGCAAGAAATTGGGTGTAAAAGTTGCCAAGGCCTACGTTTACATATGGAAAGTGCGTTTACTGGTGACTTCAGACTGCTCAAATTGACATTAAAAGCATTCAAAGTTTGTGGATATTCCTTCTTGCCCATCTTCTGTGGTCTCTTACACCTGCGGACATGGTGTTGTTCAGCTTTGTGCTATCTAATCGCTTTATGTGTGAATCACCAAGCAGGAGGATCATTCAACCATTTGCTGCAAAAATTTCTGAATATAAAGAAACATCAAGAAAACTTGGAAAACGATTATTGAACTCCAGAACAAAAGATCAAAATCTAGCAATATTGATTGTATCAAAAATTCAGGCAATGCAATTATTAACAAAAGAGAAATCTCAAATACAATAAATCGATTTTTCGGTACAATTGGTAAAAACTTAGCCAGGAAAATCGAAGCTGTTCCTAACCCTCGTCTATCTGGGAACTTCAAAAATACTAATGACAATGTCAAGTTCAAGTTTAGGATGATAGAAGTGCAGGAAATTAGGAGTGCGATTTCCAAAACCAAGTCTTCAAAGAGCTTTGGGAATGACAATATCTCCTGCTATTTTCTAAAACTGCCCTTACCTTACATTGAGAATGCTTTGGCCTGTTTGTTCAATACATCACTTTAAACTAAAAATTTTCCAGATTCATGGATATTGGCCAGAGTTACCCCAATTTTTAAAGAGGGGGAAAAACTGATAAGTCTAAATACCGCCCTATATCAGTTTTACCTGTCATCTCAAGGCTCTCCGAAAGACTTGTGACTAACCAATTGTACCAGCACATGAGTGATAATGGATATTTCTCCCCACAACAGTCTGGCTTTTGTAAACTTCACTCTACCGTAACATGTTTGCTTAAAAACATTGATGACTGGTATAAAGAACTAGATTTAGGAAAGCTAGTGGGATTAGTTTTTATTGACCTGAAAATGGCATTTGACACGGTTGATCATGGCATACTATGCAAGAAGCTAGAGTTTTATGGTATTCAGCAACAGCCGTTAGAATAATTTAAATCATACCTTTACAACTGGAAGCAATATTCTAGGGTAGACCATGTCGATTCATCAATTATGGAAACGAATGTTTATGTACCCCAAGGCTCATGTCTTGGACCCCTCTTATTCCTCATTTATATAAACGAACTCCCACAAGCTGTCCAAAAAACAAATGTGTCCATTTATGCAGCTAACACGAGTCCTTTCCATAAATGGCATGTTATCACTCAGCTGAATGAGGCCATCAATAATGACTTTGCACACGTTGAAAAATGGGTCAGGGGCAAAAATTTCACTGAATGTAATGAAAACCCATGCCCCGCTTATTTCCACCAAACCTAAGCATAAGTCACTAAAGAATCAAGACGAATCTTTAAAGCTAAAAATTCAGGACAATGAGCTGGATTTTGTTCAAAAAACCAAATATCTTGGAATACAAATCGATAACACATTAGATTGGAAGGAGCACACTTAAAAGATTTCTTCCAAGTTCTCCAGAGGAATTGGCTTTTTGAAGCTTGCCAAATCCTTTCTGCTAAAAGAAACTCTGAAGACTATGTACACAAGTTTTGTGGAGCCACACTTTTACTACTGTTGTTTGATGTGGGGCTGTTGTGGTCTTACCAAAATCAAACGCTTACAAAAACTACAAAACCGGGCTGCTAGTATTGTATCTGGCAGCCGTTTTGCCACTCATAAAAGAGAAAGAACTATAGACGAGCTAATCGCTAATGAGTCAAAGATCATGGTCTTCAAATCGATTCGTGGAATGGCTCCACAATACATGTGTGATCTTTTCAAAGAAAAAACCAAGTTAAATTTCTGGGAATCTTAGGAATACATTAACTGACATAAGGCTACAAAGGAAAAACTCCAAAAATTGACAGAAATGCTTCTTGTTTAGAGGTGCTCGGTCTTGGAATGGCCTTTAAGCTGAGTGTAAACAGGCATCTTCCTTGACCAACTTAAACAAAATCTTGCGAAAATGTAAATAGGTGTAATTGTAGATTATATATTGGAAATTACCATTTCGCCTTTCACTATAGATATTTGTAGTAAAATTAAATTCAAGTTGAAATAGGATTAGACTGTAAATATTGAATTGTCATTAGGATAATTTGTTTTTTATAATAATTTCTGTAAGTATTTTTAGTGGAGGGCCCCTTTAAAATCAGCATTGCTGAAGGGCTACCCTCCTTAAACATTTGAAATGAAATGAAATAAATGAAATGAATCTGTGATCGTTTATTCAAAAATTGTTCTTACAATTTGCTTCCTTGTTTCAAGGAAGGTTAAAAAAAATCTTTGGATTTAAATCAAAGTTTCAGTTCAGTTCTATAAACCCAACAATCTACACTCAACCGATAATCCAACAATCACCACCCCCCTCCCCCCCCTCCCCCCCTCCCTCATGACCACACGACCAGCTTTTTTCATATACGATGTGGTTTATTAAGTATGTTGCTTCAAATTTTCTTTTTTGGATATTAATTTTGTGGCCACCTCAATTATATCCATATCATTCGTTCTGTCTTTGTGATTCTGAAGCACTACTAGATTGTTAAATCTTTTCTGACTCATTCTTGGATGAGCCAGTTTTTTTTAATTATCTAGCGACCGAAAAGGATCACTATCCTGTTGCACTTGTTCCCCGATTTATGCAAATCAGTTACCACTGGAGAGAGTACGTCCTTTACCAGCATTTATTCATGTGGAGTCTAAATTCACAGGACAGTTGTTGTTAAAGTTGAAAGGAGGTTTAGTACCTCAGAAGGCGTATGTATGCATATTTGTTTGGGCATCTACACAAAGGGGTCATTTCGAATTAACAAACAATGTGACAGCAGACGAGTTTTTTCAAGCCTTCAAAAGAGTGTACAACAAAAGGGGTCTTTGCAACACAATGTGTTAAGATAATCAATCTACTTTCAAGAGAGCAAATAAAGATTTGAAATGGGTTGTGGACAAAAAGTGGTAAAACAAGGAAGAAGATCGATGGTTAGAGAGTAGACACAGATTTAGTAAATAGAGGAATAAAGTAGAAGTTTATTACATAGCAAAGTCCACATCGAGGAAAAATTATGTTGCTCGCTTAAAGAGCCACGATAACTTTGATATACCAGGAGAAGGCATCAAATCTAATATTGAAGATGTTGATGACAATGATTTTGAGTCGCTTGAACAGGACATGACTGGTTCTGCAGAGGCGGATCTAGGGGGGTGCTATGGGTGCTTGAGCACCGGTCAGAATTTTCGGAGATATAACATTCAATGCATTTTCTCTAATCTCTGAAAAACGTCTTGAATCCTTTTAGATGATGTAAATGCATTTTCCAGTAAACTGATGACATACGGTCATGCGTTAGTTAGCATAACCTGTATCTGCTTTAAACTATAAATAGCTAGAAATTTCATGCACCCCTATCAATCAAAACAAGGCTTCAACCAATCCGTTTGCCAAATTTCGGCTCATCTGAGCACCCCTATCAATCATTCAATATACACTGATGCATACTGTCACTGAAACGACTAAACCTGTTCGTGTAGCAGCGATGGCGGACATAAAATCGTTGCTGTTGCAGGTGTTCTCGGTAATTGGTTGCCAGTCGACTGAAGAAATTGAAACGAAAAACGAGCTTTTGAGTATTCAGTCAATCGTGAGAAAAGTTTTTGATAAGAGCATGGTGGATGGTGTTACAATTAATTCGATACCCATTTCTTGCCAAATGCAGATGGCCCCAAAAACATACTACTTCAACACAAGGTACTAAGTAAAACAATCAATTTTTATCAACTTATTTTTTTCTTACAAGTATTGATTTAGACCCTGTTTACACGAGAGAAAATGGAACGGTTCCATTTGGAACCGTGCCGTTTGGAACGGTTCCAAATTTTTTCTGCTTGCGTTTACACGGGCATCCTGGAACCGTTCCAGAAATTGCTTCAGAGGAGGGAGAGCATGCGCAGTAATTCCTTCTGTTCGATTGGCGCCAAAACTTGTAAATCGCATCATTCGACTCGATTACGACAATTTTTATCAACATGGCAGCAACAAACATTACCAAGAAACTTTTCGTTTGGACAGAAGAAGAAACTGCACTATTGTTGAAAATTGTCTTGGACTACAAAACAGCCAAATATGCAGCTGGACAGGACTGGGAAACCATTTGCTCCAAGTACGAAGACTTGGCATGCCGTTTACAAGAGGCCTATCCAGATGAAGTTACTGATGAATTTCCAAGAGGAGAAACCAAAGAAGAATTTTCCGCTTCTAAAGTTTCTTCGAAACTGAAAAAAATGAAAAATAGTTTCAGAAAAGCACTCGACAGTGGGCGAAAAAGTGGTGGTGGCAGAATAGTGTCTTCTCTTTACCAGGAGTGTTCTGAAATATGGGCTGGATGCCCAGCAGCAACAAGCATTGATGGAGGTTTTGAAAGAACAGGCGTAAATAATCCCGCAAATGATGAAGAAATATTGGCAGAGGAGAATTCTCCTATAGAAGTGGATTCTCAGGGATCAAGTATTGCTGGCAACAATGAAGAGAATATTGATTACATTGACGAAGATTCACCAATATCCTGTGAACCATTAAAAAAGAAAATGAAGCTTAGGAGAGAAGAACTTGCAAATTTGTTAAAAGACCGCCGAAATTCCAAGTCAATCAAGAAGACTACTTTCCAAGAGAAGATTTTAAATTTTGCAACAGAAGAGGCTGAGATGAGAAAGGAAGACATAGAATTGAAAAAGAAGCTTGTTGCTCAATTTGAGTCCTCTGAGAAACAGTTCTCTTCAACAATTAGGCAACTTTCAGAAGATTTGAATAAGACAATGTCAGAAGGCTTTAAAATGATGCAAATGATGTTTCAGCCAATGCAAGAGTTTTATCCAGCACCCAATTACTACCAAGGGCAAGGAAATGGGAACCAGTGGCAAAACATAATGTACAATCGAAGCACTAACAGAAATGAAGACAGTTCAGAGCCACATTATACTGATTTGTAACTCGAAAAACTATTTTACTTACAATTTTTCCATACTAGCACACTATTGTAGAAACTCAAACAAGCTTTCTTAATTAAGAAGTATCATATTATATTGATTCAACTGATTTTTAACTCTAAACAAAATTAACTTGGTTAGAAATAATGGAAATCAACATAACAAACTGTATCATTAAAACTAAGATAAACTGTTTTTGGGATGAAATGTTTAAACGTTAATAATTGGAAAGTTTTTAAAATGTTAGTTGTTGTTAAAGTATAATTTGAAGATGTCTCTGACTTTTTTGCCTTCTGATTCTCCTGAATTGTTTCTTTTTCCACTAGAGTTTGGCTGAAAATCTCTATCATAATTCATAGCAGCTTTTATGTGTTCCTCAGGCACTCTTTCTTTATGAAGTTCACAAAAATTGTGTAGTACAAAGCAGCTGTATATCACATCTGACAGACTGGTCTGACATATGTCCATTTCTCGACGTAGTGCTCCAAATCTTGCTTTGAGTCTGCCAAAAGCACATTCGATTACCATTCTTGCAGACGAGAGACGATGACAAAAAAATTGCTCATCAATTGTTTTACCTCCATTGGCATATTCTTTGATGAGATATGGCTGAAGTGGATATGCTGGGTCACCAGGGAGACAGACAGGGACACTGTCATGACCTTCAACGATTTCTTTCTGACATGGTGGAATATCACCATTTTGTAACATTTTGTTTATTGCAGAATTAGCAAAGATTCGTGCATCATGCACACAACCAGGCCATTTTACTACAACATCTATAAAGCAATACCGATAGTCACAGGTTGCCTGGACATTCAAGGAATATCTGTTTTTTCTGTTTAAAAAGTCAGTTGGGTTTTTTGAAGGCTGACGAATAAATACATGGGTTCCATCTACTGCACCCAAACATTGAGGAAAACCATGATGCATATAGAAATTTTCAGTAAGAAACTGTACTTCATCTTCAGTTTGAGGTGTCTTGATGTATGTTGGTCCTAGTTCATTTGTTATAACATGGCATACTTTTCTAACCACTTTTGAAACAGCTGATCTTGAAATGCCAAAAGCATTAGCAACTTTTCTATATCTGCCCTCGTCGGCCAAGTAATATAATGTGACTGCTAGTTGTTTTTCTACAGATATAGACTGGCGCATATTTGTAGTTTGTTTTTCCAAAAAAGGCCTTAGCTTGTTACACAGTAGAAGAAAACTGTTCTTACTCATGCGAAAGTTCTCTCTCCATTCTTCTGGTACAACAACATTGTCTACAAAGTTTTGCCGCCAACCATCCGTTCGCCCTGGCCTGATCCAGAACCTTCTTTTTGGATTTCTGCGAGCATTCTTCATCGCCATTAAATTCCTGAAAATACTCTGACGCTGGTCGATGCTTGTTATCATATTCAAAATTCTTCGCTGTCGTAAGTTATGAAGGAGACGCAAAGTACTGATAATTTCAACTTTAGCTACCAAAACTGACAATAAAATTGAGAAAATTGATGCTACAGTATTCTTTAATCGGTTCATCGTGAAGTATGTATGAAATAGATCGTAAACAAATCAACTTTTTTCTCTTCTTTTTTGGCGCGCAGCAATAAAGCAAACAAAGAAATCATTTCCAACTAGCCTCTATCTCATAGCATAGTAGCCTCGATTCCTATCCGTTCTCTTTTGGCTCGGTTCCATGCGGTTCTGCCCGTTTACACGGGAGCCAAACGGAACGGTTCCAAATGGAACCGTTTCTGTAGCAGAGCCAAAAGAGCACGGATAGCAGATCCAAACTGGAACGGTTCCAACAGTTCCCGTGTAAACGCAAGGCCTATCCGTACTAGTTTTGGAACGGTTCCATTTGGAACTGTTCCATTTTCTCACGTGTAAACAGGGTCTTAAAGACATTGAATCATGGTAAATAGGCCTTCTCTATAGGGGGTCATTTGGATTCGGCGTGATCGCTGCTGTTTCATGTGATACTTGCATCCGTTGTTGACAACTTGCTATTGATGGAAATTGTTTTGTCAATCAGTACGAGGTGAGTTCGAGTGACCAGTTCAAGGTCAACCAATAGCATGGCATTCATGAAAATCATGACTCAGCGGATTCTGGCACTTAGGGTATACCCAATCCATTTTACCATGACTCAATGATATTTAACTCAATTTTCGTATAGTAATGGTCAGTTAACGTAGCAATGATTATTTTTGCTTTTTTTTGTTTGAAACATTTTAGCTGCCATTTTACAAAAATGAACCACCGTCTGAATATTGCAGAGCAATCAAATATTGACTAACGACCCAAAATTTCATTCATTGATTAATGTAATGTACAAACTGCGAAGGTGGCAGTGTTATTTTTAACTAGCATTGCTACCATATAGGCTTCTAACAAAAGATATAATTTTCTATATAGTTATGCTTTGATACCTGAATTTAAAAAAGATTAATTTATCAAGATGGGTGTTGCCTTCATTTAACCGTAAGTAAAAGTGGGATGTGGCATTATTATGGCTATTAAGGCAACGCCCTTAAACACCCCTCAGATTTTCCGCTGGATCCGCCTCTGGGTTCTGTACGTAATACAACTGGAAATATCAAACTCTAGATGAAGATGAAGGACCTGACAGAGTTTTCAAAATGGATATTGATTTCGATAATTCACATGTTGAAATGCAAGGAAGTTTTCCTTCTTCAAATCATGGAAGACCTGCCAATGTTGCCCTTGCCAACAAAGAATGGGAACAAAAAATACTGGTATCCCTATTCCAAATTCTTCTCAGAAGAAGGGTCTACGAAAATCTTGCCAGTGAACTCTTCTGAGCTTGATTATTTTATTTTGCTTGATTCCGAATAACATTGCAAAGGAAACAAATATTTATGCAGAACAGTCATTGAAAATAGCTCATCAAGATGTTTCTAAATGGATTTAGCTGAGCTGATTGTGATGCTTTAGGGTTGCTGATTGTTAAAAGCATTCACAAAGTTCCCTGGCTTTGTGACTATTGGTTAGAAACTGCGCGCTTGATGTTCCAGCATTTGCTCAAGTAATGCCAAGAAACAGATTTTTTGATATTCTTGGGAGAATTCGCTTTGCTTATAATGAAAAAATGCCCCAATATGTTGATCAAGAATTTGATAAGCTTTACAAGGATAGAAATTTTCTAGACAGTGTCAGGGCAAACTTTCTTTCAAACTATGATCCATACAGGCAACAGGCAATTGATAAGGCTATGGTTAAGTACAAGGGAAGAACATCATTGAAGCAGTATATGCCAATGAAGCCTATAAAAAGAGGAATGAAAATTTGGTGCAGGGCTGAGAGCAGAAATGGCTATCTTTGTGACTTTGATGACAAGACAAGAAGACAAGAAGCAGGCATTCAGCATGGTCTTGGATTCTCTGTCGTTACAAAACTGTGCGAAACAATAAAAGGTCACTGGTATGCTGTGTTCTTTGACAACTTCTTTACATCTTATAGACTTATTGCTGTAAATCATGCAGACCATACTCTATGTTTGCTTCACATAGTCGTCATACTTCATTTTTCAACTTACCATTCTCAGCAGTGAGTTTAACAAGGTCACTACTGATTGCTTTTTGTTGATCTTGATATTCGCGAAGATCGCTCTGTAGCCCCGCTAAAACGTCCTTTAGTTTTTGTGCTGTTTTAATAGCATTCACCAGTTCTTTCATTGACAGTCTGGCTAATTCACTCTCAGGTAGATCCTGCAATTCGTATAAGCTATGGTTCATCCTGTATAT